CAAAAAAAAAAAAAAAAAAAGAAGGTTATACGTACTCGTAGGAAGATGGATGTTGTCCCCTGCTCGGGCAATTGTAAGGGCCCGTCCTCTCTCTATATCTTCTTCCCTCTTAACGGCTACGACCTCTGTTTTCTTTATAAGGGCGTAGAAACCTCTCCCTGATAGAAGCGTTTTAAAAACCTTGAAGGGAAGCCCGAAAAGGGAAACCTAAAGTCGGCTAGCGATGGGCTTGAGCTGTTACAAATGGTATCTGAGTCAGATCCTAGACAACGTGCCAATGAGGACACTGGCTTTTAAAGAGGTGGATTGTGAGATTTTACATGGGTTGGAGAGAGGAACGAAACATTCTTTATAAGGGCGTGGAAACCTCTCCCTCATTGACGCGTTTTAAACCCCTTGAAGGGAAGCCCGGAAGGGGAAGGCCAAAATTTGCTTGCGGTGGGCTTGGGCTGTTACAAATGGTATCAGAGCTAGATCCTAGACAGCGTGCCATCGAGGACACTGGATTCCAAGGAAGTGGATTGTGAGATCCTACATAGGTTGGAGAGAGGAATAAAGCATTCCTTCTAAGGGTGTGGAAACCTCTTCCTCGTAAAGGGTTTTAAAAACCTTGAAGGAAAACTCAAAAAGGAAAGCCCAAAGAGGACAATATGTGCTAGCGGTAGACTTGAGTTATTACATTATCATTGCCACCACTCCGAGGACCAATATCCCTATTGTAGCCACTGTCTTTGACATAGCCATTTTGAAGATAACGGTCACTAACATCATATCTATCAAAGCGATCTCCGGCAAAAGGGTACCTGCAGAGTTTGCATACAAAATCTCAGATGTAGTGCCAGGGCGTACACATATAGAACGTATGTGAATGAGTGTATAACAGATGTAGGAAGATGCTGCTCACTCTTCCATCCTCACATCACTATAATTATTAGAACGAATAAGAGATGTAAAAAACTACCCGTTGTAGTCTCGATTTCCATACTTATGATCTCTACAATCAAAATGATCTCTATCACCATATCGCCCTTCATCATAACGGTCGTCCACATACCGGTCGCAATCTCCTCCAAAACGATCCCCCACGGCCATCACCATCAAATCGAGACGTGACGAAAATGAACCTCTACCCCTCCCAAGTCCACCACTAACTGAAGAACAGTCTCGTGCCCAATGCCCTGGACTTCCAAATTGAAGCATTCATCTTGCCCTACAGATCTATCTCCTCCTCTCCCAAAACTAGCTCTACCACCAGATGAATAGCCTCCTCCTCTGAGGCATGGCTCTGCATCATCTCCCTCCATCTTAGGTTCAGCCTTATTTACTGAGATAATCCGCTCACTAAACTCATGCCCATGCATCTCTCTGATTGCATCAAGTTAAATATCTCTTCAATGCTCTTGAATCTTAAAGGAGCAGACATCAGGTATGAACTACTTTGCAAAATCATTTAACAAGGAGGACCCGTATATATCAACAAAAAACTGAGTATTAAGAGTTCTAGAAGCGCTGCGCAACCCAACAACTTATAACCCAAACTTAGTCTCTGGATTGTCAGGGAATTGAGGTGTATTATTTTGACAAAGCTTTCCTTACAAAATACTATCAGTTTCCCACCAATTTCTTCCATTGTATGTATACTGATGGATAGCATTTCTTGTCTACTAACACAATTTCTTCCAAGAACAGTAAGAAAGAGAGCCCGAATCAAACTATTCGCTATAATCAAACTAATCCGAAGAATTCGGATTCATATAGCTTAAATAAATCAATACATCCTGATGGTTTCCACGTGCACAAAATTTAATTAATAAACAAATGAGAAACACAAGGCGAAAGTTTACCTGAGCTTCAAGAATTTTGCCGAACCGGCTGAAAGCATTCCCAAGCTGATCTCCGAGATATTCAATGAGAGTCCTCCAACAAACATTCGCAGCCATTACCTCCTCTGGCTATCAATCAGATGCGATTCCTACAGAAAACAAAAAACATAACTGGAAACTGAATACGATCTACTCAGAAAATACAGAAATCGAGCCTCTCCGCCTGATTCGACATGGTCCATTTCAAATCAAAATTTCAGAGTTGCAAAGAGAGAAGAATTAACACTCACCTCTGTGCCTGTAGTAGCAAGTCCATGAGCGCCACAGGGTGCAGGGTGCAGGGTGCAGGGTTCAAGGCTCCAGAGCTTAAACCCTCTATGGTCCGTGGTCGAGTTATTCCGCGGTCCGTACTAAATTATAAAATTTTGGGCTTGGGCTTAATATTGGGCCTGGGCCTGATCTTGGGCTTGGGCTTGACTCTTTTCTGGTAGTGGACATGGTCTTTTTTGGGGCCTCTTGGTGTTATTTTAAAGACTTGGATTTTATGCAATTTATTTATTCGAAATAAATCAATTTTAATCCCTCAATTTGTATTAATTTGGAATTTAAAATTTTAATTTAATAAAAATAGACCTTAAAATATTGGAATGTATATAAAGAAGGGCTTCCTAATTATTATTATTATTATTATTTATTTTTCTATTTTTTTCCAATTTTAATCCCTAAATTTGTATTAATTTGGAATTTAAAATTTTAATTTAATATAAATAGACCTTAAAAATTAAAAATAGAATGTATATAAAAAAGGCTTCCTAATTATTATTATTATTATTATTTATTTTTTCCGTCTTAATTTTGATGCGTTTTTAAATGCAGAATACAAGCAAGATCCGCGTGTAGAAACAACGATGACTTGGAATGACAAAAATACCCCTTCTTCAGAAGTTCGGTAAAGGGTTTTTCCGTCAATTCACATCATTGGAAAAAATAGTTAAACCCCATTATCCATTCCTAGTCACATCCACGTCAGCAGCCGACGCGAGTCGTCAAATCGGAGAAGAAAACGCCATGCATTTTGACGAAAACGATCGCGATTTTTTCTGTTCTTCTCGTTTCCATTTTCTTTCTCTGTGAGCTTCGTTATCTGCTTTTCGCTTGAACACAGACACCGAGATTTGGATTTTTTTGTTAATTGCATTGTGTCTGTTCTTCTTTATCGATTGGAATAATGCATTTGTGATGTTTCCACCTCGAGGTATGAATTTGAATGCGCTTTTTTCTGGTGAATCTGTTTCTTCTTTCTGTTGTTTTGATTTCGATTCCGATTCTGTGTGTTTTTGTTCCTTGGAAGTGGGCGCTTGAATGTTTATTGGACCAAATGTATTTGATATTGTGTAGAATCTGTTGCGCTGGTGGCTCTTTTTACGGGATTTTGATTTGTTCCCGACGTTATTTTTCATTTCGAGATTAAATTCGCTTTTCCATTAGGTTCGAATTCGATGGTTAGGTTTGGTTAGGTCATGTTAGGTGTGAGAGCAAAAGAATCCTAGGTCGTATAGTTGTAGTGTTTTCGGTTGAGGAGTTGGGAACTCTCGTCTCTCATTTTTTCATTTTATTTTATCTTGATCCTCTAAACTGATGGAGAATGTTAAATTTCTTCGAAGAACCATCTAGCATTTGATTTCTTTACGGGAGAAATGGTATTAAATTTCTGTTAATTTACTTGATTGGCTCATCAGACGACACTCCGGGTCCTCAAAACGGACCTATTGATCTGATTGGACCATGACGATAATTGGAGGTAGTGTCTGACTTTGTACGAGTACAATTATGGAGCCTCATTTGTTTTTTCTTGACAAATAGACAGTATTGATTCAGTTCTATGCATTTTTATGTCATCGAGGTGGATAGAGAAACACGGTCTTGTCTGCTTTATGGAACAAGAAACAGGGTTAGTTCTTCCAGTCCACCGAATCTGTATTGGTTTAGTTCATACTTCAGAGTACGGAAAGAAGAAAAGTTTGAGGATCCTGAAACATTCACGGTTCTTGATTTGAAAAATTTTCTTAGTGGCCAATGGAAATGTTACTTAAGAAATCTTTTTATAAACTTATTTACACTACGATCTCCTATTGAAAAGTAGTTCCTGATATACATTCAATTGAGGATCAGTTAGTCGGAGTCGAAGTAGATTATTTCGAAATATTTCTCATCTATTCTATTATATATGTGCATATGTTGCCATAAAATTTTCTCAATACAGTTGAACATCAACCAGTTTCTTCGCTAGTTTTATCTGTCAAGCAGGTTAAATAAGAAGTTCTGCAAATTTTGTTGCAGCGCATGTTCAAATAGCTTAACAAGATTGTGGGTTTCAGTTTGAAACTAGACTGATTGTTTTAATGGGCATATATAAAACTTATAGTGAGAATATTGTTCAATTTTTGTGAACGTTGACTTTTTTTGTCAGTTGGTATGTTTTTCAGCTTGTCTTGTTTCTGTTTCTAGTGGATAATATATATATATATATATATATGGTAACTAACTGTTCTGAGGAAGCCTTTTAAGTCAGAACTTGCTAGGTATCTCTTGTGGGCATCTAAAAGAGAGTTCGTGCTTTATTATTGCAGGAAGGAATGAGTCTATTAGTTCAGAGAAGCTGGAGATGAGTAAAGAAAGTTCCCATACGAAAGAGAAAACGACTATTGGTCGTTCTTCATCTAGTGAAGTGAGAAAGCCTGCAGAAAAAGATCTAAGCTCCTCCACGTTTGTCAACCAGGGTAAGGCACCTATTTTCAGTTTCTTGGAATTGTATTTTTTTTTTTTAATGATTTATTATGCCTGTTGTAAACGGATGACCCCATGGAGCTTGGAAGTTTTAGAATAAATGCTTAGAAAAAAAAAAAGTAGCAAAGCTTGTTGTTTGATTCTGTTGATGTTAGTTGTTTTTTAGGTTCCCTATAGCAATTTATGTATTCCATTCGAAATAGAGACTCCAATTAGACTCTCTTACTTAGGAGTGACTGACAATGGGAAACAATAAATCCCAGCTAGTATCTTAGAAGACGTTGGCATTGGTTGACGAAATGGTGATGGAATCATTTAATTGATCTGAGTTTTCTGAATGTGGTAAATGCATGTGTGAGTGTTAAAGGTGGAAGTCAGGAAAAACTGAAGGAAAATGGACTAATCTGGGCAGAGGAGATGTTTTCTGAGGGAAAATGGTCTTCTTCCTGACCTATAGATTTTTGTTTCATTGATTGAATATCAGATGATGCAAATCATGAAAAGGGATCTACCATGAATTAAAAAGGAATTATTTGTTTCTTCAATCCTAGATTTCTTAAAATAGTGACACATTATGTTTGGTTTGAAATGTATGTTCATTATCGTTCTGTTTCGATGTGTTGTGTAGCTGCAATTCGTTGGCACGAGAGTAGAAAGAAGTGGGTTGATACTAAACAATCTCAACAACAACAAAGAATGGAAAGGGATTCGATCATAAGGTGATCTCTCGCTCTTCTGATTTTTCTCAGTTGCAAAGAATTTAATCATTCCATTCTGCTTTTGCTTGCAAGTAGTTTAGTTGGTGAACTTGAAAACATATTTATAATCATAAATGAAGATTTCTGCACACGCAGATAAAGTTGAACAAGAAATCCTACTGTGAACACTGTAATACTATTAAAATGAACCCCGAAAGATAACAACAAATTATCCAAAACAGGAGTGGGCAAACAAGTAGACCTCCTAGTTTTTTAGGATCAAAATATGCCTGAAGATATTATTAACTTAAGCTTATTGAATTTAAATTAAAAATTTTAAAACGTCGAGGTAGCAACTACTCTGGGATCAACCAAATGAAATTAGCAAAGATGGAAATAAAAAATCTGTAGTTCTAGAATCAACTCTTTGACGGGGATAACTTGTCCATAACCATAGACCATAACTAAGAAATCAAGATTATTTGTAATAGCTCCATTCATATGCGCAGTTGCTGGCCCACGTTGTTATAAATGATTCAACAGGCTTAACATTAAAGAGAAGTAAAGTGCAAGCAGAAATAGGTCATTTTATATCTTGAAATAACGTGCATTTTCCATTTTTTAATGAACAAGTATTTGATTTTCTTCTGTTGCTTTCCTTGACCCCCATCCCAAAAAAGAAACATTTACTATGAATATAATCTAAATGATAATTTTTCACTCTGAATTTGCAGCTGGTCAACAGCATATGAAGATTTGCTCTCCACTTACGAGCCCTTCAGTGAGCCAATACCTCTCCCTGTAAGCTTCTGAAAAGGGCATGCAATTACAATACATACATACACACACGTATATACATACATATGTATGTAGGCATGTATGCACATATATATTCCATCTGCCTGCTCAATCAATTGCACATTAAAACCAGATTTCTGTTGATGTTGCATGTGTTCTTGGTTCTTCTGATAAGGAACGTTATTGGGGTATTAATGATATCTTAATAAACAGCTAAGGAGTTTGTTAGGAGAGTTTAGTTTTAACTGAGGTGGACATTGATTAAGTTGGTTTAGGGTTGAGTGGCATCTCAAGAAAGGGGAGGTTCTCTTGTTTATCTTTTACGTCGCAATATGTTTCGGGTTCTATCAGCTGCCAATAACGTTTGTTGATGCTTGTGATGTGACTGGCAGGAGATGGTAGATTTCTTGGTTGATATATGGCATGATGAGGGGCTTTTTGACTAGATAACACAATAAATATTTAAGCAGTAGACAAGTTTCGGACGAGGTACCGAGTTTCGGGACAGTACCAGTTCTTCCATCTACTAATTCTATGAAGATTATGATCTTACATCGTTGTGATCTTTGTTCAAACTAGCAGCTAATTCAACATTTGTTTTATTGGCCTCTGTTTATGGGGGTAACATCTGATATTTTTGCACAAGTTCAGAGTCGTGGACACTTATTTGGAGAATTATTTTTTATGTTTGCAAGAGTTGCTATTAATGACTGATAAAAGTTAATGGTACTGTCGAAGCATCCAATATTACCAAATATATGATTTAATTAGTTAGTTAATAGGTGATTTTGATTTAAGTTTGAAGTAAAATTATGTGTTTATTTATTTTTCTTTTTTAATTTTTTTGTTTCAAAACGTGAAATAAAGTTTATTTTTTAATTGGATAGATTTTAATTAAATTCTACAACATACTTGCAATTTTTTTTAACACATCGCAAGTGTTTCTTGTTTTGAGTTTAAGTTTGATTTGAATGGTTTTATTTCTATGAAATTTTAAATTTTTGAAAAATACGTATTTATACTATCTCTTATGATGATTTATTTAAGGTTAAAAGAGATTTTATTAATTACTATGCCTTATTGAGAACTGCACTTGAACCACCTAATGCACAAACTTGCACTTGAACATCACTAATGCACGGTTGTTAGTCACACAATTACAGTTCCCGTGAGAGTACCACCAATGCATGGTTGTTAGTCACACAATTACAGTTCCATGGTTGTTAGTCACACAATTACAGTTCCCGTGAGAGTAGCATGGCAAGGAGCACACTTGACAGGAGTCCCTAATTCAAAATAGAGTAGAGTGTGAGGAGCACAGAGCTTCCATTTCCAAGTACAATCCTCCACCTCAAGGCGTGTTTCCAGAGATCTTTCCTCGGAGATACTTTTAGACTTTGTATATTTAATTCTCAAATCTCATCATATAAATAGAAATTTAAACAAGCCCAAGTGCAATTTGCAAGTTAAATTAATTAAATTTTATGGCATAATTCATGAATCTTCAAAAGTGTAATAAAACCATAAAGCTCCTATACATTTAAAATTTTTAAAATTTATTCATTTAATTATAAGGTAATAAATTGGAGTTTATGCCTACTAAAACTCAAACTTAAACTTACACTTATATGATTAATAAATTCATAGTTTTTTAAAAACTAAAAAATCGAGAGAACGGTCCAAGAAAAGCAGTATAATCAAGCGATAATTAAATACCAAAAGATGCTCTGGTTCTCTCCATTCCAAACTTCAATACCCATTCTAACAAAATAGAAGCCTGGCTCTTACAGCCCTTGCTGCTGCTTACCTCGACCTTCCTCAAGAAAGACAGCTTTTATCCATAGCCAGAGCCTGTTTTAAGGGCATATTAAATGAAGATAGGCAGTAAGTAAGGCACCACAGCTCATTTCCCCTCTCTTCCTCAGAGGTAGTATTTCTCCATTTCTCAACTTTGTTTTCGGTCTTCTCGACCATTAACCGTCCTGGACGATTGATTACTGAGGGCAGTGAACGAAGATCCCAGTGATGTGGTCGACTTCCTCCACCAGATACTATTACTCGCCGACATATTCTCGTTAAGCTTAATATGAAGTGAAATCTTCTGCAGGTTGTAGGAAAAAATGGCTTAATGTCATTGCCATTTCAAAATAGGACTCCACTTCTACAAATTGGGAGTGGGTGAATTTAAATTCTAAGAGATGCAATAGTAAAAGATTTCATAACATCACTGTTTTTTCAAGAAGCCTACTTCAACTTCAGCTATAAAATGAACGGTTAGAAGAGAGAGGACTTTAAACTAATTTCCCTTGGTCTTTTATCAATATGGTTTTGGTCAAAGTTCTTTTTGTTGAACGAGAAAACAATTGTAAATCCATTATGTTCAATTCTTAATTAAAACCCTTCTTTTCCAAGAGAGCATCTAAGAAGTCCAAATATACAGGATCATATATTTATATGCCATCCCAATCAGATTAAAAAACCTTCTTTCCCTTTTTCACCGACGACTTTACTCCGAACAAACCTCCTCCTGTGGGTAAGGACAACAAAGCACACGGGCGGAGGTCTACAATCAGATTTAATCCTATCTTCTCTGCTATAAGTGTGATTTAGATCTAGTAGGTGCAAAATCTAAGAATGCCTTCTGAATGTTATCCTTGAGACATCCTGAGCTATGCTCTCACATAGAATTTTGCATTAAAGCCTCGGGGTTTGTCATCAGGACTTTCCCACTGTAAGTGCTTCCTCAATTTTGGTCAAGTCAATGGCTTAGATGAAAAGTAAAGGCAGGGAAAATCCAGAAAAGCCAAGGGATTTCACCAAAAAAATTAGTCCAATTGACATTGAGAGGGAAATAATTACATAAGGCTTTGAAGTGGATACACATACAACAATTTGGAATGAAGGAACAAAACTAGATGAGTACAAAAAAGGGAAAAAGGAAAAATCTCCATTTTTATCATCAAAGCCTTTGGAATGGATACACACAGAAAAATTTCCACAGCAAATGAATAATAGACGAAGAGGTGACCTGATTCTCCCTATGAGTTTGTTAGGATTCAGTTGTTCTTCTTCTTCTTCTGGCTTAAACTGTTAATAGCAGTATCTCTGTCCTTTTGAGTTCAACATAACATTTGAAGTTGGGGATGTATAGGGTGAGGTCATGTGTCTTAATCAATTGAGCTATATGCTCAAGTTGGCTACCTCTATCCTTAAAATTCCTGACATTATCATGAAGCAGAAATTAAACTACCTACCTATAACTCATTCTTAGTTACTGCACCTGGCAGCCCAAGTTTATAGTTTGTAAGCTTAATTTCATCTAACAATGGCTCCCAAACATCATGCACCAAAATCATACAGAAATTAGAGGCTCAAAATATGATGTACGACAGAAAAAAAAAGCCCATATAAGTAAAAACCACGCACCTTCGCAAACTCTTTCCAAAGAGACAAGCTAAAAGTTACTCATCTTCACCACTCTCGTCACTGAAATAACTCGCTTTCTTCGCTTTTTTCTTCTCTACAACGTTCTCACTGCTAGTCAGCAGTCTTTGGTCTGCATCTCCGTCCACCACTGAGGCCCAATTGTCATCCTCAAAACCTTCCCCATCATCCGATCCCCAATCCTCCTCGTGCCTAGCACCGACTCCACCCTTTCTCACCCGCTTCGGTTCAGGTCGCTCCCTTGGCCCCAATTGATTTTTAGGACACTCATAAGACAAATGTCCATCAACTGCGCCGCACTCGTAGCACCTACTCTTGTCTTTATAAACCCTCTTCCTTATAAACTCAGCGGCGCGACCATTATCATTCGCTATAGCAACCTTCAGAGCACGGCCATTCAAAATCTTCCCATGCATCTGTTTCACGGTCTTGACCGCGTCGTCCTGAGAAATAAACTGGACGAACGCAGCGCCGCGAGACTTGCGAGTCTGGCGATCTTTCAACACCGTAACACGAGCGATCTTACCGAAAGTGGAGAAGAGAGTATGGAGATCCGAATTAGTGAGTGAATAGTCGAAATTGGAAACGTAGACAGTAGACTTCGAAGGAACCAAACCACCAGAACCTCCGCCGGACTTGGTGGAAGAGTGTGAGTGCGATTGCGATGAGAAGTGCGACTGTGAAGACGACGGCGGCGGTGGGGCAGAAGAGGTGGCGGAGGGATATCGATAATAGAAGGTTTCGTCGTCGTCGCTGTCGCTATTAGGGTTTTTGGCTCTCTTCTCCTTGCGCGACATTTTTTCACCGTCCGTCTCCAGCAACGACCAATTTGGCGGTCATTTAAAGTAACCGTACTTTTTTAGGTTAAAATACAATTTTGACCTTTTAATTTAATTTATGCCCCCTCAATTTTTTTAAATTAAAATTAAAATTTTCAATTTTTCAATTTTTTTATAAAAAATTTCTATATCTACTTAATAAAAAATAAAATGTTCAAAATATATAAAATTCATATTCATATTCATATTTAAGAGCTATTTATCTTCAAATTTTTTAAATTTATCAGAAAACTATTAATATTAATATTTAAAATTTAATGGTCTCTTAATTAACATTTTTAAAAGGTCAATAATTAAATAAAGAGAAATTTAAAATTATAATTTAACTTTTTAAAGATTATTAATATATATATTTTTTCTTTTCTAGTACAATTAGTTTTTATAAAAATATATATATATATTATTCAATTTGGCCTTATATATTATGGAAAAATTCAATTAAGTCCCATAAAATTATTAAATTTGTTAAGCAAATAAATAAATAAATAAACAACCTCTAATAAACTAATTTTCTGAAATTTCCATGCCAAGGGTATTTTCGTAATTTTACTTCATTACAATAAGAGAATCTTCGATCAGAAGAAGGAAGCCCCCCCCCCCCACAAGAAGCGAGAGAAATAGGTTAGCTGCTTCTCCAAGCCTCACCGGATTCAATGGCAGAGCTCTGCTGACGAAAATAAATTCGAATTTGGCTCTACATGCCGTCGTCGGCTAACTTTTCTGTAAAGCCTGAAGAAGAACACAAATTTCAGCGCTTTCATCTGCCTCTAACGACCTTCGCCTGAGCGCCTTGGATTTCTAGGGTTTCCTGTAAGTGATTCTTTTTTTTCTTTTTTTTTTCTTTGCGAATTTATCCATTTTCATCGTGCTTGTTTTCTTATACGTCCTGGCACTGGTTGAAGAATGGAAATTCTATTTTAAATTTTTGTAAAAAAATTACGATAGTTTAGCTGGGTGTTGGCAAAGAGAGCTAATTCCCCTCATGATAAGAATGATCTTCTAGGATCGTAATTATAGGTTTATCTCTAAATTATGATCTCAGGTTAGGTTTGACAATAGCACCGCTTCAATTCTACTCCAAACCAAGGATCACAATGAGGATCTTTGTAATGTCAGTAAATAAGAAATCAATATTGTGTTGCTGTGAAGAAATGATGAAAAATGGTTAATTTCTTCGTAGTTTTATCTACTTCCTGTGTCATTTATTTACGTCTTGGGCTTTTCAAGTTAATTCTTGCTGGATCCTTTCATCTAAATGTATAAACTCTCAAATCAAGCTGTAACAAATCATTACTTTGTTGACAACTCTTGTTGGGAATTTAGGAGGCGCAAGCTGCTGTGGAAAGTTGGATGTTCGACCCACTTTGTTTGAAATCTGATGCTGAGCTGATATTTTATTTCAGCAAAAACTTAAAACAACCTCAAATGAAGAATGTTGTTTTCATTAAAAAAATCCCATCACTTGTCTCAAAAAGCCAGCCAAAATCGGGTAAACCTGACCCAATCATAATCATTTGCCACAGAGTTTGAAACAGTCTGGTATTTAGTTTATGGTCTTGGCGGTTATGGAAGGGCTCAATGGCTTATATTTGGGTTGGGCATAGTCCATAATTTTGGAAAATATTACAAGTATGGGGCGTCACAATCGCACTCTTCCGGCAACAAAACAGCGATCGTGCGACACTTGTTTTAATCCAGCGAACAAGTCAGTTGTGAGAAATTTGGACGTTGCGGACAACGTCGGCGTATCTTCAGGCCTTGAGTCACGTTTGCGAGAAATGTTTTAGAAAATGTGAGCGAAGAACTAGTTTGAAAATGATTTGAAAGAATTGAAGAAAGTAACATTATATGACTATAAGCAAATAAAGGAACACCACAACTTAAATAGCATATAACTCAGTGCAGGAATATGTAGCAACTAGTCATATCTCCTTATAGTACATTTTGAGACATCTTAGCCCTGGAGGGTGTAGACATGATTTTGGTGAATAGTCATACACCTCCATATTGACACAACATGAAATAGTAAAGATCTATCTAAGATGAAAGTATGTCAAAAGAGTTTGGAACGGACATGTGGTCATGGATAACACGTCCTGGACAAGCATGATCGGGACATCCGACATGCGGCCATAGACAACACGCTTTGGGTAAGCATGAGCATGACACGAGGCACCCCTAGGCCCCAAGTTTTGATGGTAACAGCTCTTAGATTGGACATCGTAATTGGAAGTCAAAGTTGACGGTTGATATACAGTGGCATTATAAAGATGCATATGCATTCTCTCCCCTTAAGTATATCTTGTAGGTTCTCGATGTTAGCATCACAGTTTAGCTTGGCTATGTTGTAATATTATGTTGGCTAACCAGTCTCTAGTGTGTGTCAATCATAATTAAGCGAGGTTGCTCGTACTTCTTTGGGACCATTGTGCATGCAGTTGATTTGGAAACACCATTGCTGAAGTGGTAGGGACTTAACATTGAAAAGTAAGAAATGAAACTTGGAGCTATGATGAACAAACTACAGTGTAGAAGATGTAAGGTATCAATCGTTGTTGACTAAATATTAAGAAGTGAAAGACTCGCCCATAGTTAGACAATATTCACAATGAGATTCACCTACATGTTTATATGTCATGGCATGAAATTATATGTAAGCCCAAGCCCACCGCGTTGAGCTTTTTCTTTTGGACTTTCTCTCAAGGGTTTTAAAACGCGTCTGCTAGGAAGAAGTTTCCATACCCTTATAAAGAATGTTTTGTTCTCCTCCCCAACTAATATGGGATCTCACATTCGAGGTTTAGCGTCCTCGCTGGCACACCTCCCGATATTTGGCTCTACTACCATTTGTAACATCATCAAAGCCTTTCTTGGGGTAATTTGGCTCAAGCAAAGCCACCCTATTTTCATGGACTAAGCTATGAAATTCTCATTCTTTTTTTTAACACCTTGTTTATTCTTTTCTATCTTGGGGTTCATTCTCCCCATACTTTTGTGATTGCCTCTCATTGGTCTAGCTTTTTGTAACTCACATGGACTTTTGTAAATTCATGCCATCTATGAAATGAAGGCTCTATGCTTCTCACATGTCCATGCTTAATTTCATGAGATATGCATATGAGTTTATGTTATGATGTCACAACTGCACCATACAGAAGTTATTTATTAGAACAAGTATATTTACACGTTCTTTTAGCTTTTTTTTTTTTTTTTTTTTTTTTTTTTTTTTTTTTTTTTTTTTTTTTTTTTTTTTTTTTTTTTTTTTTTTTTTTTTTTTTTTTTTTTTTTTTTTTTTTTTTTTTTTTTTTTTTTTTTTTTTTTTTTTTTTTTTTTTTTTTTTTTTTTTTTTTTTTTTTTTTTTTGAATGTGAACTTTGTTATTGGTTTTAGACCCCTGCCAATGCTTAAGTAAGCAAGGCACGCAAATCTAGGCGACAAAGAGGAGATAAGAGGTTGCCTTTTCTATAAATTTCAGATTCACTAAATTATTTGTTACATTGTTTTTTTAATCTATTCTTTGAATTTTTATCTTATTCCTAGTGTTGTTGTGGCACCTCAGCTCTGTTTAATTTGTTTGTCTGTCTTCCATTTCTATTAGCAATTACATCTGTTATGTTTCATAAACCCAGTGATGAACTGCCATTCACCTTTGAAAGGATGCATGGATTCTCCACAGTTGATGGCTTTGTGGAGATAGCTGAAAGCTCAGCAGAGATGATCAAGTATATAGCAAATGAACCTTCGACTGGGCTTTTCTACATTCAACAGCATACAAAAAATGCTGTTCCCAATGTTATCAATCTCAAGAATAGTGTCGTGGACAAGTCTCACGAAACAACTTTGCACGCTGAAGATTCGGAGGATTCAATCACGATGTTGCAGTCGATGAAAGACTGTGGATTTCCTATTGCTGATGAAATGATCAGAGACATCAAGAAGTCTCTTGCAGTCATGTCAACCAAACAACCAAGAAGAGGTTTGATCCGTAATACTTCTGGTACACAGCAGCCAGGGAGAATGAGCACTTGGAGATCAGCCACGTGGGGGCGAAGCGCAATCGTTGCCCCACGCGATGATGACAGTGGTGGCTACATTTCGACAGTATTCAAATCAGCGAGAGAAAAGGCGAGCAACTTTAAGTGGCCACAACTTGACATCAAGGAAGATCTTGCACGGGTTGAAGTCGACGAGCTACCACCACAACCTAACGAACCACCAGTTGCATCTGCTAGTTCTACTTCATCACAGCCAGATATAGACACTGAGGAGTTGCCTCTGGCCAGACAAGTAAACGATGAGTTGCAACGGGACGAGCAGGTTGATGTCGGTATGAATACCGATTTACTTTCGGTGTCCGATAACTTCGACGACTTCAGGGCTGATAAAGAAGCAAAACTGGAGGAGTGGTTGGGAGGGTCTGGCGGCTTGAATGATGTCAAAGAGATTTGAGGGCAGGGAGAGGCCATCAACATTAATTTTGTGTAGTATAACTGTAAAAATTATCAGATAAAAATCACTCTACACACGTTCTCTTCCATCATTTTGTCCGACCCTTAACTTCTAGAGACATCATTCCATAAATTTATTAAATTGCACTGGTGATGAGTTGTATTTCCATAGTTTTGTAACATGAGGCTGTTGAAACAAATATTTATTGTAGTTACAGATTAATATTTATTACTGATAATGTTAGTTTTTCTTTTAATTAAATATCTTAATTAAGCTGAATTGGAGATAAAAGTGATTCCTCAGTGATGAGAATCACCTAAAAAGTAGAGTTCATATTAGTTTGTTAAATCAAATATCTTAAAGTAAGAACTTATTTAAGATTCGATTAAATTTTAAGGTAAGAACATTTATTTGAGGTTTATGTTATCTTATTTTCTTCGCATCTTTCTTTTAAGTTTTATATTACATGATTGATGTCTTTATCTCAAACAAATTATGGATACGTAAATAATACTCATCTAATAAGTGAAATCGTCAATTATATTACGCAATCTGTCTTCATTAAACTAAAGCTAACAATTCTACCCTCTTTCTGTTATAGCAGAGTACACATTTGGCTGCAGTAATATTTACTGAGCATAGAGCAACTTTGCTCTAAGTGAAAATTCTAACAATCAACTTTGAAGTAAATAATTCAAAACCTTTGTCACCCAATATCACATGAAAGTCCATTATACGTTGCTTTGGAAATAAAAATGATGCAGATCCGCTCAGAAGGTGCTGATTCCACTGTGAACAGGTGCTGAAGCTTTTTCTCAGTAAAACAAGCTCAGCATCTACAGGTCATGGCTCAGGTAATACTATTTTCGGGTCAGTAATTTCAGTTTTACCGAGCTCAATTGGTTAAGACATACGTTCCAGCCGTGTTATTGCAAGGGATCTATGTTTTGATGGTTTCGTTGTCTGGCTGGAACAAAGAAGTTGCCTTTTTAACGGTTAATCGTGTCGATGGTAGAGAGTCTGAGGAGAAATCTACTCATTGCTTCAAAATGTCATGTTGGTTTTGATCTGTGAGAGGCATCAGAAATTTTATCAGGGAAGGTTGGATGATCATGACATGAAGTAAAGCCAATCTTATCAGTCTTTAACCATTGGTAAAAAAGAGTTATTCAACATAACCACACACTTCAATAGAGCGCAAGTACATTCATGGTAGAGGAGATAATTGATGGTTCATCTGAGGCTCGATGTAACCACGATGGAAAGTCCATTCTCGAAAAATTCTAAAGCGTATCACTCTTAAAATCAAGAGGATTAGACTATTTACCTGAACGAAGGGCTGCGGAGGAGTCTTGATCCATCGGTTTAATGTTCTCCAATACTCGATCGTTCGATGTGTTTGAAACAGGAGCATCTGCTACCTTGGTACTGCTTCTCACTATTTTGGCCCTCCTAAAGAAGAGAAACCAGATTGCCAAGATTGGAAAATCAATTTCAGAAAATCGATCGTCGAAGGAAGATGTTAAGATATTTAAATGTACCTGACTACATTTCGCTTCAGAGTGCTCGTTTTCATCTTCGATGTCCCTTTAGAAAACGAAGTAAAAAATTGAAATTTGATCTACAATAAATTTGACTGAAATGGGGGACAAGTAGATGTAGATCATGCTCACCTGTTTTGAGAGCCAAATAAGTTGAGGAAGGTTTCTTATTCCCCCTCTCAGCTTTAATGGAAGCAATTACAGAATCAGCATTAGGACCCAGACCTTTTCTTCCTACTAGTCTCACTCCTAGCTTCTCACAGAGGTAATTCAACCTCGTTTCATCGCCCCCTCGCACCTCTCGGAGTTCGAGGGCCTGTTGCCTCGACAACATTGTATAAACATGAAGCTGTTGCTGTTGACTAAAGTGTGACTGAAGTTGTTGGAAAAGCAACTTATTTGTGTGCTGTTGATCTGAGTTTGAACCTTCATGGTTCTTCTTCTGTGAATCATTAAATGTCACCCTTAGAATGACTGTTGACTTCGGGTCAGCATTCTTTCGACCAAAAATGACAGAGAAGCTTCCGAATTCTAAATCTGGCTCTCGAAATAGATCTGCAAGAAGACAAGCACAAGAGTGTGCATTTTTGGAAGGGCCTCTATCAATCTTCAGCCTCAAAGCTCGAGCATTGGCGTAGTTGGCCATATTGGCTGCTTCTCTTAGTCCACTGAGAAACGCTCCATGCATAGTTGCTGGATATCGCCTCGTAGTTGCCTCACCAGCAAAGAAGAGTCTTCCATCTCCCACATTTTCTGCTAGAATGTCGTAGTCATCACCCGATGCCCCCACCGCAACATTTGAGTAAGAGCCGAGACTAAATGGATCGCTAGCCCATCTAGTACAGACTGTTTGAATAGGCTCTGGGACATCAATTCCTTGGGGTTCATAGATACCTGCATCTCTTTACGCTAAGAATCTTTTAACATCACATAATTAACTAGAGCAATCATTTGAAAGTGATATTACAAACAATCCAGTAGGAACACACAATGAAGACAATTAAGAACACTCAAAACACTTTAAAACATCAAAAGGGAGAATGGAAAGGATAGAAAGCTAGGGTTCTCCTGGTCCGACGTTTCTAAACGTGATGTACTCGGACATCTTAAGTTTTTCTAGAAGGCTCCTTTCCCACTAAAACTTTTCATCTGAGGAATTCTTCAACAAAATTCTTACTTTCCCACAAAAAAGAAAGAATGAAAAATCAATTAATGCTATAAAAGAAGACTCGGTGAGAGATCATTAATTTCGATCCAGGATTTCAAAGACAGTCCCTTTTGTGTTCTAGAAATGTCTGCGATCGAGTAAATAGCTCGACAAATGAATGGATCAGATCAAATTGGAAAATTGAAAGATTTGTACAAGTTATACCTTTCATCACCACTTTGAGTAAAATCGAAGGAATGAATATGTTAGATACCTGTGACTCGAATGGTGAAATAGTATCTCTCTCCAAACATGTTTTTCTATACAAACCACCGAGGGCACTAAAAAAAGTCTAACTACATTTTCACAGGATCAAAAGTCGTCATTTTTAATCTTGCCCCTTATCTTAAAAAATCAAATCTAAATCGTAACCATGTAATCTCTTCGAGTAAAAATGGTAGACAACTAACTTTGCAGGGAAAAGTTCAAGTTAAGAGATTTTTTTGCAGAAAAAATGGCACGAGCATAAAATTATTACCCTTAAGAATTTCAATAACCCGGGTCACAGCATCTGTAGGGGGCATGCTCTCAAACTTATGTGCAGCTTCACCTGCAACCAAGGCTATCAACAGAGGACCGCCAGCAACAGTTGCATAGTTGTAAAATAGAAAGAACTCTCCTCGACGGCTTGGATCATCAGACAGATGCCCAAAGGTATCAAGATCCATTTCCCAAAACACACGGGGAAAGAGCATAGCAACCTTATTCAACAGTCCAAAACCCAACCTCTTTATTCCATCCAGCTTCCTCTGAGGCAATTCTGGGATGAACTTAATAGAACCACTCTTCAAAACGCCCAGAGGTACAGTACACAAAGCCATATCACCTTCAAAGACCTGGTTTCCAGCAATAACCTGCACACCATGACTACTGTATCTAATGGTGTGAACTGTTTTCTCATATAAAATTGAAACATTTTCAGCCAGTGCTTGAATCAACCTTCCATTGCCCCCAGCCAAGAAGCAATGATCCCCTCCCATGTCATACGGATCGTCTTGGTCCCAGAATGCAAGTGAAAGCTTCGATAGCAAACCCGCATTTGCATATTCTAGATTAGCAAGATGCCAATTGAACAAGTTCATCTCTTCACTATTAACTGCATCCTCATGAGCCTGCCAGAACGTTTCCAGTGCTGCACCGAGAGAAACGTCGACAGAGACCTCACCCATTGACTGCCTCAGCATACTTGCCTTATCCAAAAGATGGTTAAATGCAGTTTCCACCTTCAAGTCCATATCAGGATCCACGGGCTTCCCGCCCAGCCTATAAAGTGGACACTTATCTCTAACCTTATGAAGAGAATAACCTAATTGTCTAGCCATAATCCCAAGTGGGTTTCCCAAGGTACCAGTCAAAACACTCCCACCTAAATCTGCAGCTGCACATACCCTATTTCCTCCCTCCATCTTCTTCGTATACACCCGCCCGCCTGCTCGCTTCCTGCCCTCCAGAACAGTCACTTTAAAGCCAAAACGCATCAGTTGCCTAGCGGCAGCAAGCCCTGCCAGTCCCGCGCCGACCACAATTACATTGGGCTTAGATGGTTCGGAAGGAATCTTTTCTTTGATTGCAGGAGCAACCCCAAAATTAATATAGCCATGTGAAACCAAGTAATTATAAGCAGTGTCTAGTAAAGTATGACAGTGTGTAGGTATAGAATCAATAAGCATCTCCTTAGTCACCCAATTCGACACATTCTCACGCCACTTAGCAATAATGTGATTCCGAATGATAATATAGTTCACCTGTTCAATACCTCCGATAACAGAGACCACCCGAGCATCAATTTCATCCTCCGTTAAGTGATCAGCAGGAAATCCGGCCGACAGCGCAAGTAAGGCCTCGGCAGTGGATTCTTTATTAATCACGATAATCTCATCGGCCACATCTGGAACATTAGCACTAGAACTTTCAGTGCTAGTTCTGGCTGCCGGTACAGAAGCTGAAGAAGAGGAGGAAACGATGCCGTTGTTGCCGTTGTTGCCATTGTTGCCGTTGTTCCCGTTGTTGCCATTGTTGCCATTGAAACCTCCGATGGGAAAGGGAGGGAAATTAAACGACGTGACGCTTCGTTGTGGTCTGCCTCTTCTCCGCTTCTTGGGAACAGGAAACGGAAAAAACTGGCTCGAACCAATATTAGGGTCTAGATTTGGAGTGATACTCGTGTTGATCGTTGTATCGGAATTAGGGTTAACATTGAGGCTGAAGTTCTCTTCCGGCAAAAACAGAGTGAACGGAATCGGCGGGAACGAAGCAAATAATTCGGAGCTCTGGTCCGACGGATCCATGATTTTCAGGTGATCGTGAGTCCGAACAACTGAGAGGCGGTCGTCGGAGGAGAGGAAAACAATGGACGGTTTGTTTATTATCCGACAGTGGGTAATTGGAGGACTTACCCGGGAAGAAATCGAGTTTACAAAAATACCCCTACGTTTTATTTTTGGAAAAATATCATTATTATATTATAAACAATTAATTACGTTAAATATAAAATTATTGTTAATTATTTTATTTTAACAGTGACACATTAATAATTTTAGTCCTACCATTATTATATTTCCGATTATTATTTTTTTTTATTATGAGTTGGACGATCTGATTTGGAATTTTGTACTCTGAATCAATGGATCGTATCTGATGTTGAGAAAATCAGTGTAAGAGTTTGACGGTTGAAAAGAACGAGAGTATGAACCTTTTATTTCCTTCGTCAATATGGTTATTTCTTATGTGGACGGACGGTCATGAGCTCTTTGAAGTCCTCCCAATGAGTCGTAGATGGGATATTCTCATAAAGGTCCATTTACAGGCGAGAGCCAAACCCTATTTGTCTCGTCTCGTTGCTTTTGCCCCTCTTTGAGTGCCTTAAAATGAGTCAATGTTGATCGATGGTGTGGAAACTGTGATGTCCCACATTGGTTGGGGAGAAGAACAAACCACCGTTTATAAGGGTGTGAAAACCTTCCTCTAACAAACGAGTTTTAAAGCCTTGAGGGCAAGCTTGAAAGAAAAAACCTAAAGATGACAATATCTGCTCCCAGTAGATCTGAGTCGTTACAGAAACACATCCTGATGTCGAATTCAAAAAACCAGCAAGAGATTTCCCGCTCTTCTTTGATCTGTGTCTCAGGGCCCAAGTCACGAGACTACTGATACGGGTCGATATTACTTTTATCGACCCCTTTTTTTGTAGTTTTGAGGGAGGGATTTGTAAGTCTGCTAATATATTTAAACAATTTTTTAAAAATAACTTATATTAAATTGAGAGTCATGTTTAATATATTATTAAAATTTTAATTTTATCCCATAAATTTTAAATTTTTTTAAATAATAAAGTTTAAAGACTTATTGGGATAAAAAAAAATTAAAAAATTTATTAGAAATTTTAAAAAATTAAAAAATATATTTCACACCAAATAAAAATTAATTTTTTTTTTAAAATCCCAAATAAAAAATTTAAAATTGTATTATAAATAAATATCTATATTACCAATAACGACTAATGTTTCCCGCTGCCGGTAAATCGCCACGCGGTTGAAAATTTAGTATGGTTGGGGCTTTAGGGCAAGATCGGCGGGTCAACTCCATTTCCTTCGGCATCACCATTTATCACGCTCTGAGCAAATCAGAGCTGTAGTTCAACATTTTCTCTCTCTTCAGCATTCCGTTGTAGCTCCGGACTCGGTTCATCTCCGTCCCCGGCGGCGAATTGAACCATCAAGTCTCGGTGGCAATCAATCTGTAGTCTCTCGCTCTCTTTCTTCATTGACCTGTGCACTGTTCAATTTAGGCAAGCAACATACGATTTCTGGTTCAATTATCTCTCGTTCTTTCCGTCCGTTGTGATCTCATTTCTTCAGTCGTCTACGACTGTCAATGTCACTTGATTAAGGTCTGTTTGTTTGATCTTTCTCAAGGTTGTTCGAATTAAGCTATGTTTAATGGCTGAGGTTGCTGGTGATTTATCATTTTGTCGGTAATTGAATGATGATTTCTGAGAATTCATGATGTGGGTCTGGCTTTTGGCTGCTGGGTGTAATTTTTTTTTTAAGGTTTCAGTTTATGCAATCTGTTGTTATTTATGTTGAGCTTGTTGTAATGCGTGTAAGTATCGATCTCATCTTGCTCTCAGTTCCTTCCTGGTTGTCGTCGTCTACTGTAGTCTGGTGTAACTCGGGAATTTGTGACGTTTATAGAGTGTACTTCTTTTTTGATATCTTTAGTGGCCTATGCTATGCCCATCACGGTCCCGACCTCTAAAAATTGGCTGTCAAAATATTTGTAAGGTTTTATCTACGAGTTTGATTTCATTACAAAAATGCTTATGCTAAGGAGGTATTTAATCTTCGTAGTTTTCTTGAACGGTTCAGGGTTTTATCCTTTGTAAGTTTAATGTTTAGATGAAATTTGTTTCTCAAAATGAGAAAATGAGTTATTGCTTTTATGCTGCATATTGCTTATTTCATGTAGAGTGCATATAGTTTTCAAGGGGGAGAGGAAAAGGATGACATGCACTGGCCTAATTCGTTCTAGGAATGTTATTAGTGAATACTGTGTTGTTTTGCTTTCGTTTGTTGTCGTAGTTGGTTTTTCCCTTTCAGCTTGGTTTCTAGAGTCAGTTGAACGACTTGAGCGGGGCTTCAATGGTTACCATCTGCTCTTTTAGATGAAGGCTTGAAATAGGAATTTTTATGGCTTTCCAGCCCCTCAAAATATCTGCATTGGCATAATTCATCTTAGGAGTGTTTGTTTTTTTTTTTATAAATAAAAATAATTATTTTTTATTATTTTTATGAATAACCGAACTTTCATTGAGAAAAAGTAAGAAAAATACATGAGCATGCAAATACGGAGAGCCCACAACAAAGAGAGGCAATATACAAAAAAGGTTTCCAATCTAACAAAATAATACCTAACGGGTGATTTTAAAAAAGCTTAGTAATTGATGCCCCATAGGGATACATTGAATCTAATACATGACCACCCCTCACTCAGAGGCCTCTCAAGTCCTCTAAAAGCTCTGTCTCTCTCCCTAAAGCCCCCAAACAATGGACACACCACAACTTGCCACAGAGCCCTACCTTTCTCAGGATTCATGTAAAGGAGGATAGAGAAGGAACTCTTCCATCATCTCTGTGTATCCTATATGACTCCTAACTTCATAAGAAGAATCACAAGCTTAAAGAATATGATTAAGAGTTTTTGCGCCATCAAGTTGGGCATCCTCCGTGAAACCCCATCCAAGTTGTTGATTCTTCCATACAAAAATTGCCATATAGAAAACTTAACCTTCTTTGGAATTTGAACCTTCCGTGACGAGGCAAATAACATATCATTCTCGAGAGTGGGGTTCACTAAACAAAGAAAAAAAGATCTACACACGAATCCTTCAGAAGGACTAGGGTTCCAGATACAGTCCCCTCTCATGGGGCTACAAAAAAACTCTCCAAGCACCAATAGAATCATCCAATGTTTCCCTGTCAGACAAGGCTTGAGAGTTATAAATGTTATTAGTGAGTACTGTGCTGTTTGGCTTTAGTTTGTTGCTATAATAGGTTGCATTGCACTTTCATCCTTGGTATCAAGAATCAGTTGCGCTCTAACGGTTACCTGCTTGCTCTTTTTTAGGCAGAGGCTTGAAATGGGAATTTTTGATGGCTTGCCACTCCCTCCCGGGAAAGCTGTAAGTCTTCTTTTAGACATTCATTTTCTTGCAGTTTTGTGGTGTTATATGAGTTATGGTTCTTCATTCCTTCAATAAATTGTTATAATTTTCCATCAATTTTATATTTTATATTTTGCCATGTTTGAAAGGAAAAATTCCTTATGTGAATACATGATCACATTACTGTACAGAAATATATTTGGAGGTTTAAATTTGTGTTTGAGTAATAGTTCGTAGCAAGTTCTATTCTCCTTCTGCATAGCAGGAAAAGTTAATTGATTAATACCTTGAGTTTTATTCTCCTTGTGGTATTTGTATTACCGAGCATGCCTTTAACTACCTGACTGATGAAATAATTTTCCTACTTATCCTTATATTGAAATAATTTTTTCCTAGAAGTGGGGGCAATGACGTGTTAACCAAGTTTTGTTAAATATCAAACATCGAGATTGACATTGTTCTAGAGGCTATATGCAAACTATCTTTATATTTGGATATCTATGTTAAATGCAGTATTTGAAGGATGAACTTTCAAGAGTTGATGAGAGTTGGGCTGCTGCTCGGTTTGATTCACTTCCTCATGTTGTTCATATCCTAACATCAAAAGATCGTGAGGGGGAAGCACAAGTTTTAAAGGAGCAGAGTGATGTTATTGAGGAAGTTGTGGATGAAGTGGTGCATGCTTTTCACAGTGGTTTCAACAAAGCCATTCAAAATTACTCCCAGGTTTACTGAACTTATTTTTTGCCTATATGCTCGCTTCTACTCCCTGATTAGGGATTCAAATGCTCTCTTATCCTTCCAATTAGTCGTTAATCTTGGTCATATTTACTTTAGTTGAATCTATCAGCTGCATTAAGATTTCCTTGGTCTAATAAGTATCTTGTTTTTTTAATTAAAAAAAAAAAAAAGGGAGGTGTTGAGTTGCAGGAATCTCTACAATTCATATTTGTTATAGAATTCTCTAAAATTCATTATACAACTCTTCATATTTGTTGTAGAATTCTATATAATTCATTATAAAACTAATTTTTTAAATGATTTTTCTCCAGATATTGCGTTTATTTTGTGAATCTTCCGAAAGTATAGCAGTTTTGAAGGTTGATTTAGCTGATACAAAAAAAAGTTTCAGTGCCCGTAACAAGCAGTTGCATCAGTTATGGTATCGTTCAGTTACTTTGCGTCACATAATATCCCTTCTAGATCAAATTGAGGGCATAGCTAAGGTATGCCCCTTTTAATATTCTGGTTATAAAACATTACACTACCAACTATGGTAATCTAAAATCTGTAAATTGTTGAAAACTGACTTTTGGGTGGGATTGTATGTCATAATATTCTACTTTATGATCGATGCAGCATAGTTCTTAGAATGTAAGCAGTAAAAAAGCACTTTCAAGTGCAACCACAGACCTTCTATAGCTATTTCCCTTACGATCACAGGCCTTTGATGGCTATTGATTGCACTGGCTGTTGACTCCTAAGGCTGGTAGCTAGTCATTTATAGGTAATGGCCTGGCTTGATATAAATTATTCTATTTTAGATGAACAAGACAGGACTTAGAACAAGGTTTTCCTTTTCCAGCAACTAACAAATAATAAAAAGAATTTCTTGTTGATTTCATCAACACGTTTTCAGCATTTAGTCCTGCCTGAGTTACATGCCATACTGATAAGACACCAATCATTTCTAATGCTCAAGCTGATGAGGTACGGCAAATTCAATTATATCA